GCCAAAATGTATCAATTTTATTCAAAATAATAGTATTTTATCCGAAAACGTCACAAAAGTGACCACTTTTATGACTAAATGACACAGGTAAAAGTTTTACTTTTCAGACATGGAGTAAAAACACTGTTTTACGCCTAGGTATTTTCACTTTTACTTGACACTTACTTTGACATTTACCACTGTTGTCTCCTTCTTCTCTCTTTCGCTTTTACAGGATTCTCTGGAGAGGTACCAGGTAGATTATTAGCATTCGACATTTTGCACTATAAACTACACCAGTWAAATCAATCAACACTTTCGAAATCTCTTGTTATGATTTTTTTGCAAAGCGTTCTGATTATTGAGGTGATTTACTTGATTATTGGTGTGTTGCTCTTTTCTCTCCATCTGAATCGTTTGCAGATAAAATAGTKTATGTTATTTGGAGTAAAAGTGAGTTTATGTGGCTCAGCTGAATCCATTTGCTTCACTCCGTTCGGCAAAATGAACGTTCAGCTTCGCCACATAAACAACCACTTTTACTCCTAATAACATAGTCTACTATTGTGTTATTAGGAGTAAAAGTGTTAGTTTATGTGGTGATGCTSAACGATTATTTTGCCGAACGTAGTGAGCAATAGTATAATTAGCAAGCAAATGAACGAAATAATCARGATGCTTTGTAACTAATGAAATTATAACGCTTATAAACATTTGTTTTGAGATTTTTATTAGTGCAGCTAGTAGTGTAAAATGTTGAATGCTGATGATCTACAATCTACCTCTCCAGAAACTACTCAAGCAGCAAAAAAACAAGAAAGAAGCAACGTTGGTAAAAGTAAAAAGGCTTAGGCGCACAAATAGAATTTTTATTCCATGGTTGAAAGGTAAAATTTTTACTTGTGACCTTTAGTCATAAAAGTGGTCAATTTTAGGAGACGTTTGTGGATGAATAATATTGTATTTACATAAACGGTGTAGGGTGTACCAAAAGCGTCATAATAATTATTTCATGATTGTTCTCTTAGATACATAAGGTGTAAATTTTACAATTATATACTTGATTGACCTTTGTTAAAATTAACCTTAAAATTTTTAATAAATTCACTGACGATCATGAAAAATCTTGTTTGATACACGTGCGCTGTCTTATTTTTCAGGTCTTCGACCTCCATTGCAGCACGAAGCGAAGCTGAGTTTGGTCTCAGATTCGGTCTCAGACCTGAAAAATAATTTGACAGTGCACTATGGAAAATAACTATTGTACTCAAACTTAGATGAATATTAATTTGTAGATTAATTTATTCTGAAAGTCAAGAACATTATTATTTCATATTCGACCTCCATTGCAGCACTCAGCTTCGCTTCGTGCTGCAAAATTCGGCCTCAGACCTGAAAAATAATTTGACAGCGCACTTGTATGGAAAATAACTATTGTACTCAAACTTAGATGAATATTAATTTGTAGATTAATTTATTCTGAAAGTCAAGAACATTATTATTTCATCGCATTTAGCCAATTTTTATCCTATAGTTTCTAGTTAATAAAAAAGAAGTCATTATAGTTATTTTTGTTACCTAAAATACAGTTTTTGCGGACGAATCGTTGTTGTTTCCGGACGAGGCGAAGCCGAGTCTGGAATAACAGATGAGTCCACAAAAACGTTTTAGGTACGTATTACAAACAAAATTTGTTTGTTAAAGCTCCCAAAAAATTAATCTCGTATTAATKWAAAAAATTTTGCCACTACAGTAACCAAATTGACTTTTTTATTTGGAAAACTGTTTTTGGGAACTGAGTACCTAAAATTTTAMGTACTATTTTATTGAGTCCAGAAAAGACTCATTTTAAGGACTCAAAACAGCTATTTTCGGGAGCGTATAGAAAAAATGATTTATTACAAAATATTAACATACAAAAATGGTGTTGTTAGTAGTAAATATGAGTAGAACTAATAGGTAAGCATATTAAAAAAACGTGAATAATACARTTGGAGACAAAATACTTTGGTCGTCAATGTCACTTGAGTGACATTAAATTGTAAAGCATGCTTTAGGACTGTTAACCTTATTTTTAGCTAYTGTCRATCATAGTTGACAAGTTGTATGTACATATTTTTGATAGGAAATTATAATAACTGTCATTCATTTTAACATTAAARCTTCAATTACATTAAAGTGTCAGAAAAGTGACGACCAAAGTATTTTGTCTCCAACTGTACCTACAGAAAAGTTTTCGAAACGTATTTCTAGCTAATTCAACAAGAAGAGAATTTGCTGAAAACTCCTTGTTTCAGTAGGTAGTTGCATTCACAATTTTCAATTTAGATAACAAAAATTTAAAGCAAAATCAAAAAAAATTAAGACGGTTTATCAAGATCATTCTGATAATCTTTAGGACTTCTAATAAAAAAATACCTATAAAATACCTATAAAAAATAACGGTATAATTTTTAAAATTATTGCAATTCCGAAAAGATGCAAATGTAATTTTTTTGATTACCTAAATTGCAATATTCAAGCAAAGAATAAGTTAAATAAATTAAATGGAGATTAAACATACAGTTTAACATAACCAAAATATCGCTGGTTGTGCGAGAAAAAAGCTTTGACTAGTATCCAGAAGAGAGCAGGTCAACATTTGGATTGTTAAATAAATAAATTTAATAAATAATAAAATGATATTATAGGTAACTAATTGTCAAACAACAAATCTCAAAGTAAAAACTGAAGTAAATAAATTCATACACTTAGTACAGCACCTAGTTTTCAGAGATGTGACAGCTATTATCAATGACATGACATATGACTCAAATGATAAAAAGGTAATGCAGTTTTCTTCGATTTAAATTGCGCTACCTTTGCTTTAGTAGTAGAACAAAGCAAGTCTGTTAAGTCTGTTTTTTTTTTGTTGATCATTTTTTATAGCAAATAAGGCCCCTCTTAAGAAAAGAGTTCAAAATCATCGGCCAACTATGATTTTTCATTCATGAAAAAATAGATGTTGACTTATTTTAGGCTAGATTTTTTTTATTATACAGGGTCCCTAAAATTATGGATACCTACAGATAAATATTTTTAGAACGGTTTAGCAGAGCACGTTGAAATTTGGAAAACAATTTACCTATTTTTTGGTTAAAGTTCAAGGTTAAAAAAATACATTTTTTGATAAGGTATGCATGCATCACAGAACTCAGAAAAAAATGCTCTTCTTAAAATTATTAAATTTGACCCTTCTTGACATTAAAAAAATCAAGTTAGCCTAGTATCCCCAGAACAAATAAAGATAGAAGTTAAAGCTAAAGCTAAACATTTGAGGCGATAGAATTTAAATACTTTTAAGCAAATACCAAATTTCAATAAGCTTTGACGAATAGTTTTTATAATATTTAAAGTGTTATCCAATAAAATTGGGTTTAATTTAATGAAATTAATTTTGAGTGACGTTTTTATTGCCAATTATAAAAAAAAATTTAATTGTTTTCAGATTACTTTCACATGTACATTAAATTTTAAAATATATCATTCGCATCTATACTCCCTATTTAATTAGATATGTATTTTTAAGAGAGTATATCTTTTGTTGAAAATTCGTCGTGGGATTTAGTTTGTGGGAATTTAGTAACGAAAATTTAATGAAGATGTTTAGGAAACACTAACGAGTTAATGAATGGTGATGAGGTTCTCTAAGGTGTACTTTAAGATTAACAATAATAATGTTGTTTAACTTAATGGATGATGGGAGGTTTTGTATTAACGCATTAATGCATTATCACTAACAAAGCCGCGTTTCAAACTTCCAACTTAATTAAGATTTTCGCCTTGTTTTATAAAATGATCGGTTCCCTAAATCTACTCGTTAACAACACATATCTTTGAAAAAAAAAAACAATAAAAGTTATGCTTTTATACAGTAAGTAACCCATATTTAAAAAATAATTAAATTCTTACAGAATGATTCATAAGCTTGAGGTAGGTACAAATTGCAGTTTTTTAATAAACAGTCTATATTTTTTTCTTAACGTATTGTAAATTTGCTTTGTAAGTATTTAATAGGTGCCTATTACTCCTAAATCTGATATAAAATATGTATATTAGAATGTTTTGTTATGAAACTTAGTATAAAAGGAAAACATGTTATTGAAGGAAGTAGTTTTAATTTGGGTCAAGATTCAATTAAAGCAAACATCAATTACTCGGCTTTCAATTTCAAGTCGAATTTAAGTTCAGTAAATCAGAGCATTTTATTGACAAATTTCATAATTAATTTACGCTTGATTCTGCTGGACCAACGTTACGGCGGAAGAGAATATAGATGCCAAACCAGTCAAAATCGATAAATACTAATACCTGTAATTACATGTTTCGTGCACTGATCGCTCAATAATGTTGCCAAGTACTAGTCCATTCGTGCCATATCCATGATAACAAAGATAACTGTAATGGATCGTTTTGTTCAAATGAATGTGTGTGCACTTGAAGGAAATTGTTTTGGGAGATTTCCACGATGAATTATTTAAGCTCGGATAGTCAAAGCAAATATTTATCTTGAGTTGATTGTCGGTATTGTAATGAGGCTATCTTAACACTAGAGAAAACGACAGAATGTATTACGACCAATTAGGAAGAAAAAATTGCTATTGATCGATAGTAATTTGCGTCATGGGGCGGAGCAAAACCGTTCAAAAGTTTGACAAAATGGAATGGCATCTTGCAATATTAAAATACATAATAATAATTTTCTTTTACCTTTACTACTACTACCTTATTTTTTCTTCTTATACCTCCAACATGTTCTACAGCTAATTAAAAGAAAGAAACTGTCTCTTGTGAATTCTTCCAGACGTAAAATTATATTGATTCTAAGTTATTATCTGAAATCAAATGTAAACACTGGCTTGGTATAAGAAATATGACGTGCCAAGTTTCAGAGACATATAACAAGAAATAAAAGTTGAAGTTGTATAAGAATCAATAATTAGAGTAAAATTTAGCTTGTCAGTAAAAGTTTTGAATTTAAGGAATTCAACGTAGCGAAAGAGCAACACATTATCCAGCCTCCCCAAAACACCTCAGCTCAAGCATTAACAGCTGAATTAATGAAAATGCCGCTGGAATTATGTTCCACTCCCCAAGGTTCGCATTCGTTGCAACACCAATCGAAATCGTATCCGGGAGGACAGCCTCTTTTGTGCAGAACACCGAGCGTTTCATCACAAAGTAGCTTAGACAGCAGTGCATCGAGACAGGTAAAACTTGAAAAATGTGTTATCCAGACAAAGAAAAAGTAAAATTGGACTTTCTTTCAGGGTCACAGGGGCTCATCCCCCCAAATCCGCACCTTCGCTCCGGACGGTAAAACGCCCGTCCACCAGGAAGCCATCCACACCTCCAGCTACCCCTTGCGCAACTCCAGCCGGTCTCCTTCGCCACTCCGGGCGGCCTCTCTCGACATTCGCTGTTCGTCTCCTGGAACATCGACCGTCAGCGGCGAGGAAATTCGCACACCTTCGCCGTCGCAATCTAGCTTGGCTTCGCTCACCGGAGGATCGGTCAGTTCGTGCAACTCGCCGATTCCGGCGTCGCCGAGGACCGTCGGCCTAGGAAGGTGTCTTTCACCTCTTTTGATTCCGTCAACGAGAGCACACACGCCGGAAGTGAATATTGCGGCGCCCCCGGCGAGTCCGCTGGGGGCCATTCAGCCGGATTTGTACTTGCGGAAGGATGGACCACTGTTTATAGGAAGCAGTGCCAAAGCGGGGCCGAGTTTAGGAAGATTGCATTTTCGGCTCAAGTATGATTTTGATAGGAGTGACCTGGTGGTGCATCTAATAGAAGGTGATTATGCTTTGAGAACAAAACTTGTACAGGGTGTTTGAGGATTGCGAGCAAATATTTTAACCACTAATAGGACTCGTTAAAAGAAACAACTTTCGTTATTCCAACTTTTGTCGAAAGCACGTCATTTCTGAGTTAAAATTAAAAATAAATTGAGGCTGAAAACCCGTCCCTGCCTATGTTTTAATACGATGTTTACAATCATTCATAAGAAAAAACTTTGGAACGGAAACAGCGTAAAGACAAAAAAATTATCGCTACATTAGGGTAGATCAATGTCAATGTTAGTAGGTCAATACTTGCTATTATAAAAAATTGCTCGAAATGTGGTCTTTCGTTGGCAATGCACACTTCTTGTACTCTGCGAACGCACACACACAGCCCTTCGAAAGTATAAATTTGAGCTGCGTACACTAATTCACTAATTGTTTCATGTGAACCCCTAAAAAACACACGTATTTATCATCTCTAGGGAAMATGATTGTTCAATTCATTGGTGACGACTTTGGCATAATCTGATGAAGCTCCACTTGTAAATACCGCATGTGTCGCCAAGGGCACGTCCTCCACCAGATCGGACAACACATTTTCCAAAAAATCCAGATAAACGGCACTAATTAAACGTTGAGGTAATATGTGGAGTCCAATTTGATGATCTTCAATGAACCCTGCCTAAACATTTAGTGAAAATCGGTCTTGGAAGTACACTAGTTAATTTGGCTTTGGCTATAATGACTTGATTGACAATTTGATTTCAAATCGATGTGCACAATTCACCCGAAAGCGCATTAACGACTAACTAAACTGACACGTGTAAACAAGTGATAATTTTTTTGGACAAAAAGTTTCCCTTTTTCTGTATAAAAACTTTCACGGTCAAAATTCAATGCAATTTATTTTCATTGATATTTTTACTTCCAACTAACAAGGACAGACACACTGAACGGCTCGTGAAAATCATAGGGGGGAAATCGCAAAAATAAAATTTGGATACGGAATTTGTTTGGTCTTCAATTCGACTTTTCATAACAAATTGTCTTAGTGGTTAAAATATTTGCTCGCAATCCACAAACACCCTGTATGTACAAATAATTCCAATTCTAAAAAATTACACGGAAATTCCTGTAATCCCTCTTTTTAATTTTGTTCCAATTTGTATGTGTCTATGTTTCGAAAATAATTCTTAAAATTTCAAATTAATTACAGTAATTCAAATTAATTCCGATAAGTTGCGTAATATTGAAAATAAGCTAGAAATATTAATTTGGTTCTAAAATTGTTTTAATTTGATATACTGTTTTTATTAATATAACTACGTATAAGAAAATAGAGCTAATTTATCAAATTTAATACAGTGCAACTTCCATAATCARCACTTATCCAGCATATTGTGTGTATGAATTTATTGTTTATTCAAATTTTATTATCAAATTTCTTACTCCTATTTTGTTTTGTAAAAAAATATTTTAGTAGCATCACATTAAAAAGCGTAAAAATGATAAAAAAACATACAAAACTCGTACAAATGCAAAGTGGACAAAAAGTTTAGAACCAAACCTTTTTAATTATTAATTTGGCTTTCAGAAAATAATAATTAATAAAAATTAAAGTGTTATAAAAATGTGATCAAGTTTTGGGCATGAAATTTTCGTGTCTAAAAAATCTTATACAATATACGACCGGTAGCATTTTTATGGCCTTGCCAAACATACAGGTCTCGCTCCACCAGTAAAGTACTGGCGCGRCCATAAAAATGTTGCTACCGGTCTAATACCTTAATTAGCTATTACTGAATTCAGAAACAAAAATAGTACTTTATCATTTATTAATTAGTTTTTTTCAAAAAATAAATAGTTTAATCAAAAAACGTTTGGTTCAATACTTTCTGATTACCTGATAAAATGTGAAAACTAGTAAAAAAACTTTTATTTT